GAGGTATTGCCCGAACTTGGCTTCTCTGTTGAACATATTTGCAACCCCTTCCGATGCATACACCCATTGTAAGGAACAGCATTCCGCAAAGGCTTTGTATCCAAAATCTCGACAACCAGGAGCCAAGACACTGTTTAGTAGTTTGCAGTCACGGAAGGCGTGTGGCCGCGCAGCCAAGACCTGTAAGGAGTCCCTCAGGAGCTCCAGATCGACTCTGGAGAGGTCACTGTGCGTAGACTGCAGCATGTTGGCGAAAGGGGACGCGGCCCAACTTTGTCCGGGCGGAACCAGCAGCCCCCTAACGGCTTTTGGCTTGCAGCAGCAGCCGCTTTTTCAAGGTCATTGTGTCGAAAGCCTAAGGAGCGCGTGGAAAACCCCTGGGAACTCATGTGACATGTACTAGGCATGTGGGCCTCGCAGTCCGATGGGAGAAGAAGCGTGCGATGAGCCCGCTGGCCATCTGCTACTCCGCCGGGGCTCTGTTTGGGATCACCGCCCAGACCAGTCCCACGGTGACATGACGACATGACTGCCTGAGATATATGAGGCTGCTTCACTGGCTCGCAGGTCACAGACATTACCGCTTCCTCCCTACCTACTGGACGTATAAAATATCGCTGGTGATCAGGCTCCAGCTCAAAGGTGGTGAGCAATTTCGTGATGGCTCGACCCGCTGGGTTTTCTTTTTGCACAACTGCGATTTGAGATGGGTAGTGAGAGCCAGCCATGCATGCAGGAAGGTGAGAGACCTTGTCTTACCTGCCCCAAAGACTTCTGCTTCAGCAAGAGTGGATCTACCTGATCGGAGGGCAAGTGCCAGGCTGGAGGCAAGTGAAGCAACATGTCCGTTGTCACTTTGAGCAGCAGTGCCGCGGGGCCTTGTGGAAAAGCCGCCTGCCGACAATACGTAAGCGTATCCCGTGGCCAGCAATCGATACCACAACAATTGTGCATTCGAGGTGGGGAATAGGCACATGACCGGGGATACCCGCGCAAAGTCTTCTGGGAAGGGAACCAAAGCGACGTCCCAAGCGCGAGGACTGCTCATTCGCCGGACCTTATCATATGGTGATTCCTCCAATAGGACCACTCGATAGGCCTTTCCTGCCTGGCAGCCCATATGCACTACATTGGAGGAGCTGTTCGCCAACTGCTCAAAGTCATGGTGTTGGTGGGCCGGGCAGAAGACCGCCGCTTGAGACCACGAGGGAAGGCAATGCGATTTTATGCATGCCCTGTAAGCCAGCTGCTGTGGGTGTGATGTCGACCTGGAGGCCGTGCTTGTGGGCTGGCCCAAAGGTCTGTCTGATTGCCTTAGCAATTCGCTGCCTGTGGCCGACCTGCCAGACCACGGCAAGGCTGGGAGCTATTGCAATGCCAAAAGGGGTTCTAGCAGCTTAACACTGCTACCTTGTCCATGCAGCCCATCACGAGTCGAGGCGCTGTGTGTGCAGGTTCTGCACAAGTCACCTTCATCGAGTGGAGTTACTATACAGGTTGCATTTCAATAGAGGAACAAACCCCCCAAAAAACACACACCAAAACCCAAACAAAACCAAAAGCAGGAAGCAACCTGTTGCGTAACTCGTGTGGCCTTGCAGGCATTGTGAGAGAGGGTGAGACGGGGCAATGAATTCAGCAGTGCTCTCAGCATATCTTGTCCCTCAACAAACTTTAGTAGTCATTTAGTTGTGCGACTGTCCACAAGAGAGCAGTCCAAGAGAAGTCATCTTGTTGTCTCTGGTACATGGCTTGCAACACGTCTGGGGCGATTTGTTCCAAGGGCATGACCTGGTTCTGGAGCTGGTCCAGGAAAGGATGCTTGGCAGCGAGGAAGTGTTCTTTCTCACCTGGAACCATGCAATTAGGGTGAGCTAAGGCTGCCTTCAACTCATCGTGCGGGCAGGACTCAATGTCCTTGTGCACCGCTATCAAGCCTCGAAGACTGGCTACCTGGCTCCAGGGCACAAACAGCGGGAGACAGTAGCTGCGGACTGACCGTACGCTTACTTTGGTGGGTGGTGTTGTCACTTTATTTCTTATCCAGTAAAACCGCGTCGTCTATTAGATTAATACGCGCGCGTGTCTGATGTTTGCTTGTGATGTGGTTTGTGTACGCTCAAAAGGTTACGCACGGAAACAACTGATTTCAAAAATTCACACAGCGCTGCAAGACACATTGAAACTGAAAAGTGACATACATCGCATCTCTCTTTTTCTCTTGCAGGGTTCAGGTTAAAATCCCCTTACAAAGTTTGGAGGCCTACCTGGTAGCCTTAGAGGAAAACAGAAGGAAAGGCACCGACACACAAGTGTGTCGAGTACCATTTCCTCCTGTTTTCCTAAATAGGGGAACAGGTACGGAAGTTTGCGTCCAAACTTCCATCCAGTCGATTTCCATAGCTTCATTGGCGTGACTAGGAAATCGACCGTCACGCCCCCTGTTCCACACCTTAAGGATCCCTCTGATTCCAAGGGTTACACACACACACACTTTGAAGTGAGAAGTGTACTGAGTTGTCGAACCGATGCAGTGGCTCGAGACTAGCCGAAAAGTCCGTGTTTTTGAGAGAAACAAAAATTGTACTAAACGGTGGACCAAACAAATTGGGGCTTTAGGTGCGAAATTTCGAAACCAGAAGGTTCTTTGAAGGATTCTTTTATTTGAGCGGACCAAGTTAAATGGGGGGTATGTCAATCCTACGTCGACATTACTGGGTGCCTCAAAATGAACATAGAACGTGAACATATGTCACTGTGTGGGTTTGGGTGATTGCTGCTTCGTGGTTCGCTGGAGGGAAAAGCATGGGAGTGGAAGTCGTGGTTCTACCAGTGGTGGTTTCGGTTGCATTCATGTAGACTGCGGGTGACATACCACCACCTGTCAGGGGGAAGATCTCAATCACACTTGCTGTTGCCAACATCCTTGTTGCGCTAGCCTTGGCGATCGGAGGGTTACAATATCCAGTGACTAGCTGGTGGGCTACGCCCTGCAGATTCCACTGTACAATCTGTGTTTGGGCGAGGGAGGCACCTTTGCCGTCAGGCGAGTTGGTAACGCAGCTGTACGGAAATGAACATGTGTTTGCTTTACCACTTTGCTTCTTTGACCCCTTTCTGGCGCTGCTGACCGTTGCTGCTTGCGTGCAATAGTGCAGCCTGGAGGTGCTCACATTGAAATGGCTCATGCAGTTTTAGGACACCATGTGTGAGAGACTGCATTTCCATGTCAAGATGAACTGTGGTACAAGGTTCCACGTCGTGTTTCACCGAAGACATCACCCTCTTCGCCCTCTTTCCAGGTTTACCAGGGGGGCAAAACAACTGGAGGTTGTAGACTCCACTGTAGACTCTGCCTTCGCTTTGCACAGTTTTCATGGTTTGTTTGATCCTTTTCGCCCTCTCGTTGTACAGCGTTGATCGTATAGCTTCTGCCCGGTCGGTGTTTGATGCCGATGCTATGTATGACATGGGATGAAAAACCTGTGTCGTATAGGCTGCCGCCACAGAGAAGACTTAATTATTGATTTGTTGGATCTGACAGAATCTAGCATGAATCAAATGACATAACTAGGTCAGATGGTATCAGACACGCATGACATGCACTCGAACTGTTCAGGCTCAATCAAGGTGTGAAAATAGGAGTGCACCGCTTTTCATGGTAGCGGAGCTCTACCGGGCAGCCCCCGGTATCTCCAGGGAATCCCTTTTGGGGTGATCTTTTGGGGATTGAAGGTCCACCTGAAATCCCCGGGTGGATACTACTGGTTGGGGTCACGCTCATGGCGACTGGTGGAGATGGCTTGGAGCAAGCCATTGGTGGAGATGGTGGCGCTGCCGCTTCACAGGCAGCCGGCGCTTCGAATGGAGTGCAAGGACTGGTGCAAGCCCTCCATGGTTTGATAGAAGTTCAAAAGAGTTCAGGGTTCACGAAGCATTTGAGGCCTCCAACAAGTTTTCAACCTGAAAACAGAAGTGAAGAGCTTAGCAAATGGATGGACTGGAGGTTCCAATTCGAAACGTTCGTGGGTGCCGTTGATGCCAGCATGCTCAACCACATGAAGCATGCTGAGAGAGAAGAGAACCCCATCAATGATGGCAACCCACAGATCCGAGCCCAATCCGAGAGGTTGTACTCCCTGCTCACTGGCCTGATGAAACAAAGGCCACTCAGGTTGGTTCGAGGAGTGAGCAACCAGAACGGCCTTGAAGCTTGGAGGATCCTGACTAAGGATCTGCAGCCCAGGACTCGTCAACGAAGCATAGCACTGGTTCAAGCCCTCAATAAGGTCCAGTTTGATGCCACCAAGTCCGTGACCGAACAGCTTCCCCAGTATGACCTCATGGTTCGGGAGTATGAGAGAAGTTCGCAGACCACCTATCCAGATGATTTGAAGATTGCTTCAGTGGTGGCAGCCCTTCCACCCAACCTCAGAGTCCACATCCAAATGGCTTTGCAGGACGACACGACCTTCGAAGACCTGAGACAGAGGATCGAGCTCTATGAACAGGTCAGCCAGCGATGGATGTCTGAAGGAGGCCTGCAGCTTTCTGTACGACCTATGGCTGAGGTTGAGGACAAGGGTGGACCAATGGAGGTGGATGCAGTGTGGTCAAAAGACGGTGGAAGAAAAGGTGGAAAGAAAGGAGGAAAGAAAGGCAAAGACAAGGGCAAGCAGAAAGGTAAGGGCAGCTGGTCCAAAGATGGAGGAAAGAAAGGAAAAGGAGGAAAGCCATTCGTCAAAGGTGATGGCAAGAAGGGCAAAGGCATGGGCACTTGTCACAACTGTGGCAAACCAGGCCACTATGCCAAGGACTGCTGGTCCAAGAAGGTGAGAAGAGTTGAAGAAGAAGGTCAAGACGCAAAAGGGTCAGCAACAGCGACAACAAAGGATGGTCAGACCTCGGCGTCAACTGGCAGCTCAGCCCACACCGCAGGACGCTCAACGACTGCGGGAGTCAGGCGGGTCAGACTGGTCACGCCGACGGGATTGGCCACTATGGAGATTTTTGATCTCACCGAGGGTGACTCCAATGAGGAGCAAGAGGCATCCGAGGCAGAAGATGAGACCTCGGAGCTGACCATCTTTGCAGTGACAGAGATTGCCGAGACCTATAAGGCAGTGAATGACGAGGAGACCTTCTATGACTGTGATGAGGAGTTGAAGGATGAGTTGAAGCCTCCATCGATGGAAGAGACAGACGCCCAAACCTCAGGATGCAGAGCTGATGGAGAGGCCAAGGCCATGGTTGAACCTATGAAGATTTGCATGATCAAGAATGTTGTGGCTTTGGAAGTTCCCTCCGTCATCATGACGATTGACTCCGGGGCAGATGTGTCAGTGGCTCCTGAACGGTTCTACAACCTTGGAGTTCCAGGTGCAGGCAAGCCCATTGAAATGATCGATGCACAAGGAGCCAAGATCTGCAGCAAAGGCAACCGCCGTCTACGACTTCAAGCCCAAACTCGTGATGGTGAAGTGGTTGAATTCATTGAACAATTTGCATTGGGAGTTGGTGTGACCCATCCACTTTTGAGCTTTGGACGCCTTCTGAAGCAGGGATGGGGACTTTCCAAAGATGATCATGGTCTTTTCCTTGAACACCCAGAGAAGACCGTGAAGATTCCTGCAAGGTTGGAACGAAATTCGCTTGTTATGGATGTGAAGATTTGTGCAGTTCGAGCTGAAGGAGATGAACCAGAGGAACTGCAAGTCAATGCAGTGAGTGGAGGACGAGAAGAAGCAGTTGAGAGTGGTGGTGATACAAGACCACTAGAGCATCCATCCACGGCAGCAACAATTGAAAGTGCCACAGCAGCTTGTGAGAAAGGTGACAAGGAAGATGATGATGTGACAATGGAGCTGATGCATCAAGTGTCGAATGAAGGTGATCCTGGTCAAGATGAAAGTCGGTCACCAGGTTACACCACAGAGGAGTCCGGCGACATCATGGTGAAAGGCAGCAGCAGTGAAGACGGTAAGGTGAAGGAGAAGTTGGCCCGTTGGGAGCGCTGGAACTTCAAGTTCAAGGAGGTGAAGAAAGAACCAGTCGAGCTGTCAAGCCCTGAAGAGCAAGTTCGGCCAGTCCGTGGAGCACCTCGA